CCCCAAAACCCCAAAACCCCAAAACCCCAAAACCCCTTTTAAAATTTCTCTAATTGAAATAAAATCTTACTCTTTCATTATGACAAAGTCAAAGCTAGGTTACTCTCCCTTCAGGATTTCTTGGACTACAATCTGATCAAGTTCAAACATCTTTGACATTGCCTTTTTGTTTTCTTTAGGAATGTACTTTCGGAGCTTTTTGTATATCTTAGAGTCAGATGTTTCTTTCAACCTTTCCTCTTTGAGAATAGTGTATACTTTATCAAATATTGGACCAACAATTTTCATAATCTCCAGCTTTTTATTTGAGGCTTGGATTTGAGCAGTTTCATGAATAGGAATATCTTCTCTATACTTAAGTTGCTCGTTAAGTCTTTCTTGCTCCTTTTGAAATTCTATATCTATTTCAGTCTCGTCAAATGTAGCATCATTGTTAAGGAAATTTTTATAATTATCAACAATAGATGTGAGTTCATTAGCGTCTTTCTTAGCTTCCTCAGTTGTACTTCCCGTTGTAACATCATCCTCATCCTCTTCAAATTCGTCTGATTCGTAGCATTCATAATTGTAGTAATACTCTTCAGGGTCATACTTTCCTGATGATACAATTTTTCTATCATCGTAAGAGACAGATTTATGCTGCATTTTTGACATAGTTTGAGCAATAGAGTCTTCTTGAGACAGACCGGAGATTAAAGTGCCATTAGACTCTGATAGTTTGAATGTTTCCATTACTTTGCTGCTAGAAAATTGGGTGATCTCCCTGTCATTTGCTGCAAAAGTGTCTTCGCATCTATCATTAGCTGCAAAAGTATCCTCTGCTCTATCGTTGGCTGCAAATGTGTCCTCTCATCTATCATTAGCTGCGAAAGTATCTTCTCATTGGTCTTTATTAGCATGTGTCATTGTTCGATCGTTTGCTGCGAAGGAATCAGATAAGGTCGTGCTTTCGAATTCTTGTTTTTCATTCATCATATTGTTAGGCTCTACACCCTCTCTTAAACCACCTTGCATTTTTGATGGATACCCGGTCAGATTATTCTTAACCCTAGCTCCACCAACAGAATGATGTTTGGAAACTTTTAGGATGCTTTGTTTATCATCAGAATTGTCTGCAGCATAATTAAAAGTGCTTCCATAAATTTGCTGCATATTCCTTTGTTTAGCTGTTGAATAATTCGATATAGCCATAGATGTGTTCTCTCTCATTTTTCGCTCCTCCTTTGTCATGTGCCTACCTATAGTTTTTGCCTCTTCATCTTCAGTTTTTAAAGAAGGGCTTGACGTGTCTTGTGTTGAGGTTTGCCCTATTTTTCGAGACTTCATCTTGCGAACAGGAAGATTTTGATCTCCAATAAATCCCCCATTTAGAATAAATTCCTTCATTTTCTCTGTGATGAAAGGAGTCATTAGTAATTGAGAAACTAGTGGCCTTTCATTACTATCTTTTACCAATAGCATCTCAACTATTTTCTGAAGATCTTCTGAATATCTATCTGGTATTGGTGAATGTGTCTCTTGGACTATTTTGTAGGCTAGCCCTAGGAGGTTATCTGCTGAGAATGCATGCTCAAGACATCATAACTCATATAAAACTCATCCAAGAGCCCATACATCAGATTTATATGTATATGGGTTATTATTTTCACACCTCTGGACTGAGATAATAAGGAGTTCCTACACATGTTTGCGCAGCATCACTAGTATTTTCAAGAACTCTTGAGATCCCAAAGTCGCCTAACTTCACTGTGTTATTTCCTGTCAGGAAGATATTGGATGCTTTAATATCTCTATGAAGTACCTTCCTGCCATGAATATATTCCAAAGCCATTGAAATCTGGACGAACCAATTGAGTATTTCATCTTCCGTGAAATTCTCTCCTGCTTTATTTCTTCTTATTAATATGGTAACTAAGGTCTCCGACATCTCAGTATTCCATAATAATGATGAGGACTCCTTCTTCAATGTAACTGCCATAATAATCAACAATATTGGGATGGTCGAGATGCTTGAGTAATTCTACCTCCATTAGGGCACTTTGTTGCTCCTTTTCAGGAAGTTTTCCAAGAGCAATCTTCTTTGCAACGTATTTCTCACCATCAGATTTCCTTTTAACAAGGAAGGCAGATCCAAAGTTGCCTCTTCCTATTCATTTTAGCTCAGTGTGCTCTCACTCATAGCTAGGTCTTGCGTCAGTCATTGACAAGATTTTTAATTAATTTAATAATTTTAAGGGGTTTTGGGGTTTTGGGGTTTTGGGGTTTTGGGG